TGGCCAGAATGAGCCCTGGACCTGGGAGAACAAGCAGCTGACCCAACAGCTGCTCTCTGAAATACATGTGCACATTGTTGGAGAAAAGATCAGCCAGCTCAGGCAACCTCAGCAGCTGCTTAATAAATTCTGACTCATACTAATTTGCCAAACTTTTGACTAGATAAAATTGGTGCTGGCTGATGCAGTTCTTTCATTTACACTGCTCAGTCTGGAGCAAAATGAAAGGCAAGTACTTTTGACTGAAACCTGGCATGAGCCCTCAGCCACCAGCCTCCACTCTCTGTTACACAGGATGCTGTCCAGCAGCAAGGCCAGTCTGCACATGGTCTGCATCTGGGTCAAGAATACATGTTATTTAAGAAGGCAACTCCCTTGGCAACCACTTCGCCTTCAAGGTGGTAGCTCTTGGGCTTCTCAATGTCTCTAACTGCATGAAGGTACTGTTACATGGTGAACTGAAAGGTTGGCTTCTTCCCATGGAATCCTCCAGGCACCATCCCTTGGATGAAGAGCTACTGACCTTCCTCTAGCAAGCTCTGCATCATCTTCTCATCATGCACTCTGCCTAGCCCAGTGTTGTACGCTCAGACCTCTCTTCAACCMCAGAAAGGGCAGGAACAAGGGTACATGCACAGCAGATATGTTCAACAGTGAAAGAACTGAAGTACAGAACAATTAGTTATTTCTCTTGTAGAAGTCACCTCTTCCCTGCAAGGACTTTAAAGCCACCCTCCTTCCAAACAGAAAAGGCCAGCTAAGTCACAGGCACAAATGGTGCTTCTGCAGAGCTTTGCAGCCGGAGCCATTCACCATTGCAGGGTCCCTCTGCTGAGTACCACCAAGGATTAAAGCAAACTCCCCAAGGGCAGGGCAGTGAAATGTGTCAGTGCAGAAAGAGGAGAGCGAGCAGATGTGTCAGAGACAGGACTGCTTGTCCCCAGAGCCAGGCTAGCTAGTAAGGCCTGGCACTTCATGAAACACACTTATTTTCAAATTGAGTTTCCTGCCTGGCTTTGTTTGCTTAATTATTTGTTTCGCAGATAGCACTGGTTTGTGCAATCATTTTCTTTGAAAATGGAATTCAGCTCATGTTATTTCACCTAACAGGGCTGATGTTGAGTAAAGCAAAAGTTGTTTTGCTGAAAGTACTGGTCTCCAGCCAGTGACATGTAGCTGCCTCAGTGAACAGTTGTCCCACTGTCAAGGCGTTTCCTGAGGCTCCAGTGCAGCACTGTGCATGGCACTGCGAGACATAAAACCAAACCTGCCTAAAACTAGTGGCACACAACTCCAGCTGTGGCATAAAGATATTTTGGATGGGCAGGAGGGGCTTTTTACCATTCAATTTTCAGGGTCATGGGCATTAAAAAGTACAGCGACTTTAACATTTATTTAGTTCAGGGTAGAGAGGGTGCTTTCTCACTTCTGCTATTTTTGAGTGTGTAAATGAGAAAGGAAGATGGAGAGAAATTGCACACTGTTGTTTCTAAAGAATGATGGAAGCTTTATTTTAACTGGGCTGCTTCTCTTATATGCACAAGTTGGTTGGCTCTGAACATGGGCTATCCACATATAAATGCATTTCTGTAAGAGCTGTTTTATGAGTCACTTTCAGGGAAGACAGACTTTAGGTATGTCGTAGCAAGCGAAGCAGCTTGCTCTTTCATGACTTSTGCTGCCTCACATGGTAATGACAAGGGAGCACTATCCTATTCAGGCTCGGAGCACTGGCCWGACAGTCCTGTGCTGCTCTGGAACACAAGTACAGATGGATGCCTGTCCACCCACCACTTAACTCTTGTGAGATACTTGGGAAGGGGAGGGCAGGAAACCTGCACTGTGTTTTCAGTTACCAGGGTAGAGACAACATGTTAGATTCACTGGTGATTTACAAATTCACATTCTTTCCTCTGTCTGTTGGCCTTTGAAAGAGTTAATATTGTATATTTGGGAATACCGATAATAACGAAAAGCAACTTCTCTATCAAACTATAGATGTCAAAAGCTAAGCCGTTTGACCTATAGTTCAGTTCCAGAAAAAAAACACTTCTTTTCAGATGAACAGAAAATAAGCTGGAAATGATGAAACTGATCATATGTTTGAATCTAATTTTGTTGATGGATGGCATTTGTATGAGTGGCTGCCTCTATGTTTTTTATTTTAAATCATCTGGGTTTTTAATATTGACCTTTCTGTGAATTGGTGACATCAGAAAACCTACTACCCAATTCAGATTTTGCCAATGTACTTCAAAAGCAGTTTTATTTATGAATACCATGTTTGTAAGAAAGGAGGCCTTTCTGACATCTCAGGCATTCTAAGCCTCGGCTACCTTTTGTCCTACTGATAYAAGTGAAGTTTTCCCAGAACTGATATTAGTGAACTGTTGTCTCAAGTTGAAGCTGTTTTGGACCAGAGTTCCTTCCTCCAAGATTTGGCCTCAGAACTCAGTTTCAAAATGCTAAGAGGAAAAAAGAATTTGGGAAATTGTAATTAGCAAGGAGGAGGCTGATGAGTTTGGCCAAGGATAAAAAAAGGCTCTCTCTCTGCTTCTGTTCTCAAGAAATGCTGCACAGCCTGCATTTCAGTTCCAGAGCTGAGAAGTGCTCCCCCAGGAGACTGAGAGCTGGATAAATAAGGAACCCTCTAACAGACTATTTGCCCTTATTTTGATCTTTAATTAGTTGGGGTATTGCCCAACTTTTTTGGGGGGTGTGAAGGTGTGGCTCTGGGCAGACAGACACTTAGGTGTGTGGGCATCTGTGGAGTCTAAAGACAGAAGGAATTTAAGAAAATTCCCCTGCTTTGACCAACCCAATTGCTCACTGAACTGTTTTCAATATGCTCTACTTAAGATCCTCGCAAAACTGAAATACAATCTTGTGTAAACTGCAATTGAAAAGAGTTATAAAATTTCCATTTATCCAAAACAATTTGTAGGGTCTGTTATTTTTTAAAAATCACATATTTTTGGAGTGTAGAGGCAGACACTAATATACCTCTGAGATGGAAGCTTTGCAATTGTATATATGGTTTGTGGKTTACACATCAGATCACAATCTAGCATAAGTACGAAAATATTTAACTGGCATCCAACTGCAGATTTGATTGGAGCATCCTTTGGTTAAGGTTTATAGCCCGCACAATTGAGTGGGCAGGATTTCCTGAAGAGATCAGGTCCTGAGTCATTCATGGAGGTGAAACTGGGATAATCACGAGTTACTTGTGGGAAAGGGGGCAAGAGAAGGAAGTTGTGCAAGAAGGTCTAGAGTCACCTGTGGGGCAGTGGTGTTTGGGGATGGGGAGATTCTCTATCTCAGACCCTAATTACTGGGGAAGAGGCACAGGTATTACTTCGGTATGTATACATTTCACGTCCCTCTGGTACCCTGGGAAGGGGAACGAMAAACAGCAGCAGCCAGTAGCTCCTCCCTGGCTTTTCACCCTAGGGAAGTTTTACCTCCTAACCCACCGCCACCCCCACCCCCTGCCTTCATTGTAGAGGGGCTTTTGAGTGTCACCAAGCAGATGAGAGGAGGTTCGGTCAGCACTTGTTGATACCATGTCTGTGTGGCAGGCCTTCTGTGGCACACTTCCTGAAGGGAGGCAGGAGGGGCTTCTCCTACCTTTGAAGGAGGAGGCTTCTGGGTTTCTGCTGCAGCTTATTCCTTCTAGGGGAGCACAGGTGAGTGAGGGGCCAGAGAAAAGACATGATTTGTGGCAAGGTGTGATTGTGATCCTGTCCCCATGTCCCCAGCATTTAATCTGACTCTCCGATTTGTGGGCAGGAGGCAGTTTTTCCTGGATCAGATAGACACCACCAGCTGGGGCTTGCTACCTTTCTCTTTGGAGCTAGTTGTGGCAATAGTTATGTGGGTCACTGGTGCAAACCACAGCCTTCTGCTGCCCAGAACTTTGGAGAGAGCCTTGCCCTCTTCTGTTTCTGTGGTGAGTTATGTTTGTGGTATTTGGCCTTTGCTACAGCTCTGAAGTGCAATGAGAGGTGCTGGGGCGGGRGGGACTTTGAGGCCCGTGGCATAGATGCTATGTGGGTTCCTCTGGACTGAAGTCCTGTTTGTCTTTGCAGAGGACTCATATGTAGAGGACTGCCCAACTTGTGTGTCTCTSTTATTGTACTCATTTGGTGCCTCATTGAGGTAATTTTGATTTGATTGTTGAAGAGATGTATTTATTGTTCAAGTCAATATTGCTAAATGCCAGTTGATTTGCAGGGGAGGAATAGGCATACTTGAGTTTAATTTTATTTTTGTTTGGTAGTTACCAAAATCTGAGATCTGAGATCAAGCCGTATCTCCTTCAGCAAGCAACATGTGTCCAGCACCTGGGACAAACATCAAGTGATCAGCCTCAAACAATAGAACAGTTTTCCTGAAATTAGCCTTTGGTTCTTAGACCCATAGCTATGAATAACACCCACTCCTTATGCTCAAAATGTAAAAGAAGAGCTCCAGGACAAATGATAATAAATGAGCCCAAATGAATTCTCCCCTCCAGGAAATGATTTAATAAGTAAGGCTGTCCCATCATTTGCTTCTCCAGGGAATGTGATGTAAGTGTAAGGTGAAGYACTATAACAATAACCGTGTGTATATTCCTACCAGATCGATTAGCCAGGGAAATATAAGTTAGGGTCGAGATGACTCTACCCTTAGGCTGATATTACATATAGTTTTGGCAGGAAGAGCTGTTTCAAGTACAGCTCTGTAGATGTTATAACAATGCTGCTGGTGGTTAAGGACCCRTCCTGTTACCTCCACTCACTTGTCACTGTCTGTGCTGCTTGCTGCAAAAGGACACTGCAAAGATCCAGTCAGTGACAGGAAAAGAGACCAAAGAATAAAGAAAGGGAAGCCACTCCTCATAACATGATGTGATTATTGACTAGGGGAGAAGTATCCAGGGTACAAAATCAACCCAGAAGGACAGAATGAGCAATGGTGCAGTGCATTCATGAGCGCCAATTCTCTCCTTCCAGAAGCTGAAGATCTTTAGGAAACTCCTGAGTGATAGAGGTAAGTGAAACTGCCAGTGGGTGGTGCATGGGCATCTCTAATGCTTGCAGATCGGAGCAGAGCGCTGCCCTTACCCGTCACATGTATTCTATTTACATCACAACAGAGGGAGCATCGGCAAAACATCTCAGAGGAGCAAACCTTTTGTTATACCTACAGCTGCAGSCTTCCCTGTTAGTGCAACTGACACAAAAGTAATCACAATAATAAGACTCATGCAGTTAATAGATTTACGGTTTTGTGACCCCTGCAGCCAACTTGGCYATAGTTTGGTTACTGGATCTTGTGTTCCTGTGATTTCCTACAGGGAAAGAAACACCTGAAATACCTCAGGATTTTAGAATCCGTTCACCTGGCTGCTCCTCAGTAGTTCTCTCCATGCTGGCCTTTTTTTTCCATACCTGCTAGAAGGCCGTACCAAAATGTTGATTTTTCTGGTGCTGTCCTCCATGCTCAGCAAGGGACTATATTTGAAACCAGTGAGTGAGCTGTGTGTTAAGAAATAGCTCTGGCACTAAAATGTCTAAAATTACGCTTTGTTTCTCTGACTTCTCTCCTAATTTGGATTATCCTCCAGACTTGCCCACAAGATGGAATACTAAGAAAATATTGTTTTGTTTAATTTGTTTTTTGATGTCCACATTTCTCACATTTCCTGTTCCAATTTCAAAGTGGGTTTGAGCTCCTCCACTAACATTGCTCTGGCTGTTATTTTGGGGATCTGAGAGAGGGGATTAAAAATAAACAAAGTGTGGGTAATGCATTTCTTGCCACAGGTTCTCTTAGGCAAGTCGGTAAAAAGTTACTGACATTCATCTTTTTTCAGTTAAATAGAGGGATTAGATGAGGGGTATTACTAACATGGGTCAAAGTATTAAAATATGGTCCCTAATTTTGTATTTTGAACCCCTAAATAAGGCTTGAKCTTATGCCCTTTGAAGTCAATGCCAAAGCTTCCACTGAGTTCAATCTGCAAGATGAAGTCCTAAATTATGGTCAGGTTCTTAAAATTTCTCAGTGTCTCACAGCTCCAAACAAGTCATCACCCTGCCTCTTTGCAAATCACATGTATTCCCTCAAGTTCCTAAACATGGGGCTCGTGCTTTTAGGTATTCCATATTTAAAATCCTGCCTGTTGATGCTGTCTTTCTTCATGTCTCAGGAGCCATGGACATGGGAACGATAACAAGGCTAATAAAGAAGCGTAGCCAAGGACACATATTGATTTGCCTTTTCAGTGAGCAGTGCTTAACACGAACACTGCAGATTCTAGAGCAATGTCAGTATTTATTATGGTGTAAAGTTAACATGGAAAGCACATGCATGTCCTTGCTGGTGCCAGAATTCAGCCAAGTACATGACCATTTGCACAAACTTCATATACACTGCTCTCCTGGTAACAGGATGTTGGCAACTGGGAAGATCACAGGATCCAGATGAAACATAAAACGAGATGAGCAATCCTGTAGTGGTAATTTTAGAAGCTGGGTTCTGTACATTATTTACAGTACATTGTAGCTTTAAGGGGATAAGGCTGTCCTTGCCACTTGTGGATTTAGTCTGTTCTGTGAGGTTTCTGTGGGGGACTTGGCTCAGAGCAGCAGCTGGAGGGATTTTGTCCGTCCAGAGGAGTGTTAGAATCGCAAGTTATTTGCAGTAGAGCTACCTTCATTCATAGAACCCTCATTAACAGGAAGGGAAAAGGCACCTAAGACCTTCCACCAAATAAAAGGATCGAGTGAATTAATCTGCTTGGTGCTGCTCTGAAGTGCAGAGGCCTGGCATAAAAATTGAGCTGTTCACAGGGGACTGGGACAGAGTCAGAAGTGGTTCCTCCCTCCAGGAACTTTAAATAGGCTTTACCTTCAGTAAATGAAACATCCCCTCTTTTTCCTGGGGGAGGTTGAATTCTCTCTGTCTCTTGGAAGGCATTTTTGTCAATTGCATCCTGAATATGGGGAACTCCAGTTATTTTGGATTGGCATTTGTTTCTTCAGAAACCCTCTGCAATTATTTGTTTAAAAAATGATAGAAAAAGCAAAGGAAAARGGATTATTTTGCAATGTTTAAACAACACCCACCATTCCGCTGCAGAAACGTGATCCCTGAGGAGAAAGGGACTGTATTCTCCTTCGGGTTTTTGACTGGGCTGGATTTTTGCTCTTGCCCAGACGGAAGGCCGTGGGTACAAGGGGTGTGACCTGCTGCTGGGGCAGTGGGAGATATTCCTTGCTCAGGCACCGTCACTAATCTCACAGCTATCCTCAGGATCAGTGTGACCCTGGCAACATCCCCACACACCGCACCAAGGGGTGACACATAATTTTTAAAAATTAAACAAAGGAAAGAACAAGATCTGCTGAAAGCAAAGGGGTTTTTTTTTGGTTTTTTTTTTTTTTTTTTTTTTTTTTTTTTTTTTTAAAAATGGGGGGGGGTTTGTTTCATGCATTTCTCTCAGCCAGCAGGTGCCTCTATAGAGCCAGTGCTTTGCCTGAATCAGTATGACTCTGTGGCACAGCAYTGGAATACCTGCTTTTAAATGATAATATATACCCTTTTCTTTCTTCAGTGTCTTTTTCCCCTTCCCCTTCCTCCAGCCCACGGTGAGCCCTGGTTCTCGGAGGATAGTAACAGGAGAAAGATTTATGTATGTTGACACCCACATATTGTAACTATGTATGCCATATGAAGAAATTTTGTGTGTGACAGGAACGAAGTAGCTCAGTTGGAGAATGTTCGCGCCAAACTCAGTGAGACAATGCTGTCTCTTTGCCCTTCAAATACCTTATCAGAAAGCAGGGTGGGGTTTGTCTGGCAAAACCTTCACCCCTTCAGTATTCCCTTCTGCACACCAGAGCACYACTCAGCCAGCACAGGCAGGCCCCTGAGCAATGGGGGAATAGCGCTGGGTTAAGAGAAATAAAACCCACCTGATGATAACGCCCTTTAACACGTAAGTGCTAAGAAATCACTGYATCTGAAAGGCCAAGTCCTGGGGGGTAGTCAGATGATGGCTGTGATTACAATTTGTCCTCCGCCCCTCTCCCCAAATGTCTCTGCTGGACTTTGGAGCAATTCCCACGGGCCAAGTGAATTTTGACCCGAACATGTATCCATCGGCATGGCAGAAAGCGCGGCGGGAAGGCAGGGTACGGAGCTGGGTTCGAAATGCTACAGCCCCGCGTGGGGGGGGGAGCGGGGGGGGGGAAGCCCGTCACCTCCGCGGCCGAGCTTGGAGGGCGGGGAGAAGGCCGGGCCATAGCGAGGAGGTGGGACTTCACCGAAGCGTCTCTCTCCGTGGCCGCTCTAATCAGTTGCAGAGTGCTGACGAGCGGCGGGCGGTGGGGCGGGCGCTGAGCGGAGAGCGGGCGCTGCGCGGAGCCGCCGCTGGAGTGCGCGGAGCGGGGCTGCCGCCGCGCCGCGGGCGAGGAGCGCACGCCGCGCCGGCGGGGGACAGCGCGCCGCGACAGCAGCCCTCCCCGGCACCGGGACCTGCTGTTAGCTTGCCGCCTTGCTTTATCCTCTCGTTTAATTTATTTTTTCCCCACCTATACTTTGATCTGCTGGGATTTTTTTTCTCCCTTTCCTACAGAGCCTTCCCACGCCCCAGATCCCTCCCTCTCTATCCAGCTTGGATTTTTTCTTTCTTTTTTTTTTTCATATATTACCATTCTGATTTTTTTTTTTAAGCGGTGGACAGAGAGAGGGAGAGACAGTAACAGAGAGGGCAGGAGGAAAGCGCTCTGTTCGTCCTTTCTGCCGCCACCACCCCGACTTGCGAAGAGGGGTCGGACCGAGCGGCGGCGGAATCAGCCCCTTTCCCCTGAGGAGGCGACCCCGGCTCGRGGAGCCACCGGAGGCAGCCGCCGCGAAGAGGGGGCTCAGGATAAGAGATGCATTGAAAGTTTCCGCGCAAACTTTGCCTTGAGTGCGCGAAACCGAGCGAGTGCGGCGCGGGTGCCTGCCTGCCCCATCGAGGGGAGAGCGCCGCGGACGGGCGCCACTGTGGAGCTCGGACTGCCCGGCGGCGGGGGCCGGGCGGCGGCAGGGCGGCCGCGGAGCCTGCGCTCGGCCCGGCGGAGCGCCCACGGAAAGCAGCAGCGGGGGCCGGCGGAGAGCCGGGCTTATGGAGGGGTGAAACCGGAGACCCCGAAGAGGAAACCCCCTTTCCCCGGAACCCTTCGCAGCGCCCGGTCGGCGGCACCTCAGGAGGCGGCGGCGGGCACGGAGGAGGCGCGGNCGACGGGGCGGCGGCGGCGAGGCGGAGCACGGCGGGCCCCGCTTCGCCGCGTGCGCCGGCAACCATGAACTTTCTGCTCACTTGGATCCACTGGGGGCTGGCGGCGCTGCTCTATCTGCAGAGCGCGGAGGTAAGCGGCGGGACGGGGGCTTTTGTGCCCCGCGTAGCGGAGGGGAGGGAAGGCAGACGACCGAAAATACTTTCCCCCCCCTTTTTTGCTTTCTCGTCCCCCTCCCCGCTTTGCTTCCCACCTGCTCGGTTCGGTGCGGTGCGGCCGCGCCGCTGGCGCCGGGTGCGGGTGGGTGTCCGCAGCGCAGACACGTGTGCGTGCGTGCGTGCGGTGCTGCAGCTCGGGGACAGCGCTGCCCGGAGCTTCGCGGGGCCCGGGGGCAGCGACAGCGCCGTGCGGAGCGCCCGCACACACGAGCGCGCCCCGGAGCGGGGGTCCCGGCGCGGGGCAACCGTGGGGTCCCGCCGGGGCCGCGGCGCTGCGGTCGGCGGGGCGCGGGGCAGGGAGGCAGCGCGCTGCCTTCTTGCATCAGCCTCGGGTCTCCTGACATTGCAAAAGGCTGTTTCGGCGATATTTGCCTTGGGTCCCAGCTCGGGTTCGTGCCGCCGAGTGGAGTTCAAAATGCCTAGCTGGAAAAACAAATAGAGATCAAAGAGGACAAAATGGATCCACAGTTTCTTCCAGACTGGGGAAAAAAATTAATCAAAATACAGATCTCCTGCACTGAGGTTGCAAAATCAAGGATTTTCCTCTTCCTCTTCAGTCACTTTTACCCCATTGTCATTCTTGAGGAATTAGAAACCAACTCTTCCTCCTTTCCTCTCTTTAAAGAAAAAAGAAAGGCAGCTTTCTTTGCAAACCTGTCCTATAAATCTGTTTTCTAAAGAGTCAAGAGGGCTGTGTTGCCAAGAGATATTAAGGGGTTTAGACAGAGTGCCCACGTGAAAGTGGCTGTTCGAGAGCAGGCATGGATTACGTTTTAAAGGTTATAACAGGTTAGTTCTCTCCTGCCATTTCTGCTTGGTACTTGGAGAGAGCGCGGGCCAGATCATCTCGCACAATCGTGAAAATAAACGTTGCTTTCGAACTAATCAGTTATTCACATTGTTTGTTCAGCACCGATGCTGGAAGGCAACTCCCCAATTAGGAGCCATTTCAGCTGTAACTGAAGTCATGAAAGCTCTGCACGCTTTGTTTCTAGCCTGCTACAGCTCTACTTTATCCAGTGACAGCCGCACATTAGGCTGTGCTCGGCTGTGCTCCATGGGAACTGAGGCTCAGCTCTCACTTGAGTGAGGCTGCCTTCCTGCCAGATTTGGCTCGTGGGACAATTCTTTCTGCTCTCCAGGAGTTTTTCCACCATCACCCAGAACAGGGGTTTCTTTGCCTCTCAGCTCCTCAGTAAACTTGTACAATAGCATCTGCTCCCCACCTATAGGTTAGACAACTCTGTATCGGTGTCCAGTGATAACACCCTTTAACCCTCCCCTTGTTCCTTCTCCCCTCCCCTTCCTCTTCCCCAGAAGAGGAAACGGGTGGATCAGGTAGAGTCGAGGTCTGTGTGTCCTCAGGAGTTGCATAAAAGCCTCATGCTGCCTTTTCTCCTAGGCTGGAGGATGGTGCAGATGAGAAAATAGAGAGTATAATGACTGAAAAAAATGGTAGGGAAGAATTACAGGAGTTTGGGGTAAAATGTTGCAGGGGTAGACACACGAGAGATGGCTAGAGGTTCAGGTACCTGGCTAATGTGGGCCATATAAGTGCTCAGGCCAATCGATGGTGAGATCTGCCCTTCACTTCTGTCCTTATTTGTCCGTTGGTTGTCCAGGCACCACGGTGATGGGAACGTTAGAAATACCAGCAGATCTCACGTAGGCAGCTCGAGGATGGCTCTGGGCATGGCAGAAGGCATGACTCTTCACGTGGGACTAGGGTTTGTGCTTTGATGATAATATTTATCTGTCTGTCAGGCTGAGTAAAAACTATCTAGCTAGCCAGGCACRTTAGAGAGCATTAAATAAAAACCCTGACACAGTCTGAGTTGGGGAAGCAGGGTCCAGCAAGTGTCAGGCAGCTTTCCTGGAACTGAGGGACGAAGGAATCACAGTGCTCCTCTGGTGAAGGTGCAGGAGGATGACTCCTTACTGAGGTAGTTGTGGTTGCTCCTGCAGCAAGACTGGGATGGTGGGAAGATTGTTTCATGGTCTGGTCTGGGCAGCACTGATGCCACAGGTGTCTGCCTCCACTGGTGACAATAGCTTTTCCATGCAGGTGAGGGAGGAAGGAAAGGCACTTTTGCGGTGCCACTTTCACAGCAGATTGATTGTGCTGAGCCGTGTGCACAGTCCTCACGCACCGCAGGATTAGAGACGTTGCATTGTCGTCCCCTCCCACTTTCTCCTTTCCTAGAGAACAGGGGACAGGTGGTTTATTCCCTGTCTGCTTTCATCTACGGGTCTTGCTGGCAGCCTGGTGACAGATCACCCCTGRTGATGGTCCGGGAGCTCTTCCCCTCTTGCCCTGAACAGCAGCAGAACCTGGATATACCAGCTGTATTGCCATAGGGAACAGGCAGTGATCAGACACTGAGGGAGGGAGAGTAAGCCTGTGACTAGATTGTTAATGATCGCACACCCACCAGGCTGCCTGCCTTTGGTGTGCCTCTGCACCACGCCACGATGGGGAGCCACCAGAACCTGCTTCCACGGCCCATAGGCAGCTGGGACGCAGCGASTCACCTTCCCCAGAGCACTTTCCATGCTCTGAGGACAGGCTGGAAAGAGGAGCACTCCTTTGGGAGCAGGGGAGAGGGACGTCTGAGGGGCTCACGATTCCTCAGCAGCCCCAAATCCATTCTCCTGTCTGTTCTGTCAGAGGTGCCTTGGCCGTGCTGGCAGCTTGCAGGATTACTGACCTCTGTCTGCATGTTCAAGGAGGAGTGCAGGGAGTCCTATTTCCCCCCTCCCCTAAGTAGAAAACGCTGAGAATTTCTAGTGCCTAAGACGAAAAGTGCCTTAACTCCTGTCCCAGAGTCTCTCTCAAAGTGGATGGATTGTTTGTTCCAGTCCTAAACAGTTACAAAGCTCTTTTAATGAGGCTGCACAGATTAGGGGGAGGGGAAGGGAGAGAAAGAGTGCTGGTGGTGATAGTGAGGGGGGTGATGGTTAGAGAGGAATGACTTGATTAACCTTTTCTCTCCCTTCAGAGAAAAGCTTGCTTGGAGAGGGACTGTAGGAAATGGGAGACGAGGAAGGTGCAGACACATGGATGGTGTGAAGTGTGTTTATTAGTTAGGGAGGATTTTACCTCACAGAAGGAAAGATGTGCATTTGCTGCAACCGGCAAAGAGCAAGCTTCCTCTGAGTCCCGTTCCAGGGCTCATTTGTCCTATTTTTAAGGCCAGGCCAGGGGTTGCTTCCACACTGCTGTGAAATGTTGAAAATCTATTGGAAGGAAATTGTGTTGCAGAGCTGTTGGGTAATGCCAAAAGCCAGCAGAGGAGAGCATGACCTTCAGGCTGCTACCGAAGGGCACGCTGGGCCTGCTTGTCCCGAGAAATGTTTTTGGTTCTCTTATGTCTGAAATGTAGCAGACTGTTTGGAAGTGAGGCACAAGTCCCTGCCTCACCTGTTGTTCTAGTGGACATACTTTGAGGGCACCTAGGCACAGGTGAAACGCACTGCTGAAAGGGCAGAAAAGTTTCTTGGAATAGTGAGCAGAGAGTGTCACTGATAGTTCTGGGAAACCTTTCTAGTTCCTGATGACAGCTCCCCCGGGAAAGCTCAGAAGCTCCCTGCCCGCTTTACACCGATCTTGTTTCCCATCTTTGGGGTCGGATCACAGCCCAGGTCCAGGTGAGCGCTGTGAGAGTTCTGGCTCCTGCTCCACTACATCAGGGGCAGGGCGAGGTGCTGGCTAGGCACAGGTGACTAGTGAAAGCATGTGCCTTGCTTCTGCTTCTCATCATTTGTGCACCCTGTGTGCTTGCTTGTGAGGAGGCAGTGGGCTTGGCAGCTGGCTGGGCAGCCTTGCGTAGAGAATGGGTAAAAATGACCCTCAAGGTGTCTCCAAGCTAATTTTGCTCAGTCTGTCATAGTCATTTTGTGTGTGAACTAGAAATCCTTCTGTGAAAAGACTTGGGGGCGTTGTGACTTGAATAAACTGACTTGGCTCGTGATCCTCTTCCTGTGCCATAGCAGATAGAGGCTTTTCTGCCCTTGATGCGGTTTTCTTTTCAGTCATAGATTGTCAGGCACTGAGTGGTTTTGGAAGGCCGCTGCAACCTCCGTTGCCTCCATTTTATTTGTGCTGCTGCAGTGACCTTCACACTTCACGAATGAAAATGTTTCTAGGAACCTACTTTTTATAGTGTTGTCACAGCACTGAGGTTGGGCACACAGCCCCCTCCTCCCCAGGGAAGAAATAGATCCACACATGGAGCGGCTCAGGTCTGGGCTGGTAGGTTATGCCCAGGTACAGAAAGACTTTGGTTGAAATGAGAAACAAGTTCAGTCCAGGGGGACCTCAGACAAAGGGAACTGTGCTCAGACACAAAGGAATGTCTGGGGAGAGGGGCTTCTAGCTGCCTCTCTTACCACCTCCTTTTAAAAGCTGACATTTTTGGCTACTTGGATGGTAGTGCTACCCTGTGCACAGGGCTGCCTAGAAGACCATAGGTAGCAGATTCCTATTGTGAGCTTGGGGTGGTCTTGGCCCTCTTAATTCAGTTCTGTCTTTGGTTATGAGATCAGAGGGCCTTTTTCTCAGCCTTAATGCAGCCTATTGCTTACAAAGCAGTATTTTGTATGGGTCACCACACTCCTTATGGGTCTCTGCTGAAAGGCAGCAGGTTCTGGGATGGATGGTATCACACAGGTGGCAGTGTATCCTAGAGAAGTGAAGAAAGCTGGGCCTTTTCCATTTTGGTTCAGAACAGAACAGTAGGGGGAAGCCTGACTTGGCTGGAAAGTTGCGTCAGAGCTAAAGCCCTCATGGAAGAGCAAGAAGAGTGGAGTTCTTGTTTCACCTGGAATCAAAAAATACTTCCTTTAGTAAAGTGGTGTAATATTTCTCCATACCGTTTTGGGGTGGATTACCTGTCACCACTCCTGCCAGCACCAGTGCTCTGGAAATGTCCCTAGTCCCACAAAGCAGCAGGAGTGGCTGCAGAGCTTGTGGCCTTTTCGGTTTTGGCCCAGGGGAAGCTGTGGAGCACAGGAGTGGGAGCCACACCGGGGCTGGGGACTGGAACCGTTAGGTGAGGGCGGCGTCGCCCTCCCTTCCTTCCGAGAGGAAGAAAACCTGGGCGGTTTGGCGGCGTCCRTCGGCAAAGTGGTGCTGTCACAATTAATCGCCCTGACACCCGGCCAGATGCCGACACCTCCGTGGCCACCACTGCTGGGTGACAGACATCTGTGGCATGGAGAGGGAAGCGATGCCCTTTGGTGCCTGGCCGCCCTCCTCTCCCTTGTGCCCTCCCGGGCCAGATTCACCTTGACAGGGAGCAGCGATGCCCACGCCCGCCGGTCGTGTCGGCAGCAGCCGGTCACCCCACTGTTAACGTTTCTCCGCCAAGCTGGGATTTGCGCCCGGTGTTTGCCCGCGGTCACTGACAGCAGCTCCCCGAGGACGGGATTCTCCCTTTGGGGCCTCTCTCAGGCCCGCCACACCGCCTTACAGTCCCGTCCGCCAGCCTGGGGCTGTCCCGCCCGTGCCCCTCTCGGCTCCCCCAGGGGCCGGGGGAACAAAAGGTCCCTCTGTGTCCGCCGGGGCCGCCGGCAGGGAGCGGCTCCGCCTCGGGGGCGCCCCCTCCCGCCGGGGCTCCCTCCGCCCCCTGCCCGCCGGGGCGCCGGCGGCAGGACCGGGACCCTTCCTGGGACCCCCCCGCGCCCCGGGACCGCCTCACGGTTCCGTGTTGTGACTGATTTTCTGTTGTCTTTGCAGTTGTCGAAGGCTGCGCCTGCCCTGGGGGATGGGGAGCGGAAACCCAATGAAGGTAAGCGCTGGTCGGCTTCCCGGCGGGCGGGGGCGGGCGGGGGCTCGGGAAAGGAGCCCCCCGTGTCGCCGGCGGCCAACACCGCCACCTCCCGGGGAGCGGGACCGAGGGCTGCCGGCGGGAGGCGCCGCCGCCATCACCCCCTTCGTGGCGGCCGCGTAGCCCCCGCCCCACGCCGCGGGCCCGGGCCGGGCCGTGGGACCGGGGGTGGCCGTGGGGCCGGGCTCCGGGGCGGCCGCGGTGCCAGGGCGGGCGGCAGGGCTGGCCCAGCCCGCCCCTGGCTCACCACAACTCAGAGGCAAACTGCGTGCGTGCACTAGTGCACATACGCACGCTCATTTATATATATATATTTATATATATATCTACATACACACAGGCGCACACAAAGAGCTGACTGGCGGTGAGCAGTTTACTGGGGATTCGCCACAGTGCTGTAGGAAGAGATTTGTCATCTTTTGCTGCCCGCCTCTTTGCCGACGGCGCTGGTGATGCCCGGCTGGGTGGCCAGGGTGGTCCCTGAACAAAGGCCCGAGCGGCCCCCAGAGGCAGGTCTCTGGGGAAGAGAAGGAGAAAAGGGCAGTTCAGGATGATTTTCTGAGTTCGTGCCTCCCAGCAGTCCCAGGTACCTCCCCAGTGAGGAGATTGCTAAGTGCTGTTCAGAGACAAGTTTGAAAAATGCATCCTTTTTTTCTTATTTGGGCTAGCAGACTTTGCAGATTCAGGGAACAGCGCTATGATCTGATAGGTTCTACTTAATTTGTTCCTGCTGGTCCAGTACGGACAGGACCATTGCCTGGCAAGGAAACAAGGTGGTGCCTCTACAGCCACTGTGATTTTGTGTCTCTCCAGTTGCCCAAAGGCCAGGTTGTGTCAGTGTCCTCTTATCTCAGTGGTTTGTGCAAGTAAATGGAGACCAGAAGGGGAGTCAGCCCCTGGGTTAGTCAGAGACACCTCCTGTGAGTTCCCCGTCTAGTGAAGCCCTGTGCGTGTCAGGAGGCTGGCTTCTTTCCAGTCCTCAGTTCAGCAGTGGGATAAAAGGGCTGTGGACTTTGGAACCTTCGGGCTGAGGTGATCATCACTTGCTTTAAGACCATCCTGACCGTGTTTCCCCCTTACCTGTGTAGTGGAGCAGTTTACTTGTTGCATGGCAGGGTCTGGCAAACATCTTGCAGGGTACCCATGGGCTGTGACCTTTAGCGTTATTCCAACTGGAGGTCAGCAGAGGGCTCCATCAGTGTGGGCCCAGATTGGCTTTTTTTATTTTTTCTTTTTTTTAATTTTTTTTGGTACCAGTCTGTTTCAATTTCTGTAACTTTATTGGTATGACAGACTGAATGTGTGTTGCCAGAGGTTTGTGGCAGGCTGTGCTTGGAATAGGGTTCCATTTTGCATAGGCAAAATTTCTGGTTTGTTGGCGGGCTGCCGCCTGTTGTGCTTGACCCTTGCTCCTGCTGAAGTCAACAGAAGAAGGTTCAGTGACTCTAGAGGGATCAAGATGGAGCCTGCTGTGAGACTTATTTTGGTAACCAGTTCTCTGCTGTAGATAGAGCAGAATTAACTTCTGTCAGAAGAAGGCTGATGGGATTGCAGGAGAAGTTGGTCTGGCCATGTAAATGGTGAGATTTTGGTGTTACTATCCTGGTGCTATTTCAGGTTCTGCAATGTAGATATATCTGTGAATTAGAAGTCAAGACTCCTGGCACTGCCTTCCTGGCTCTACTTCTGTACCACGGTTTGACCTTAGAGATCCTCTCTCTCTACCTGAGTTTCTTCTCTTAGAAAAGAGGAGACAATGACAGGCCTGTTACCCAAGGACAGCCCTGTAGTTCCTCCCGCTGAAGCTTGGGGTGAAAGGTGGGTTTGTGTCTTTGGCCATTTTTTGCTTTCTCTGATATGTCAAGCTGTGACAGGTTTTTATTTGGGATGGACTTACTCTGGTTGGAGACTGTAATTTTACTTCAGCCCCTATCCTTTCGGGCTCAAGAAGGCTTCCACATATTTTGTGGCACTGGAGGTTGTAGAGGAGACAAACACTCTTTGTTCCATGAGAAAAGATTTTCTGGTATAAATAAAGGAAACCACCATAATTTCTGCCGGCACTTTTATTTTTAAAATAACAGCGTGTTTGTATTGCTGCTAAGGCATTGGTGGGGAGGAGACAAAATGATCAAACTTTCTCCTTTTCTAGTCCGGCATGTTTTCACTGAACTACTCCAAATTTGACCTTAAACTCTGCCTTGAAGAGTTAATGTGGATCCGTCTGTGCTTTAACCTTACTTCCCCCTCCATTTACAGTGAAGAACCTCTGACTCAAATCTGGAGGTGTTTCACAGGGTAGAAGTGTGAGTTAATTGTGGGATTAACTTCTAACGTGGGCTGAAGCCCAAATTGCAGGAAGGGAGCAGGCCTAGTGGTGTTAGTCCTTCAGTGACCTTCCCGTGCTTCCCCATGAAAGAGACCTTCTATTCCTGACACAACTGATGGAAAGGAAGCACAGATGGAATCAGCCCAGCAAAGTGTGAAATCTGACTCCCAGTGCATAGGATTAAATGTAGGTATGGTAGAAATGGCAGGGCTTCACTGTGAAGATGACTGTACCTCAGCTACATGCTCCGGTTTGGTTTGGGTGGTAACTGTGCAAATGAACTACAGAGCGATGCACAGTCTCCATGTGAATGCTCTTGTGTCCAGCAAAATAAGGCAATGTGACTTTTGTGACTGGATGTTTTGACTGGCAACTAGGGAAAGATTCCCTGGTTCCTTTTCAGAGGCTGAATCTGACTTTGGAAAATCATCATGTGTTAAAAGGTAGAAACTCTCAGTTTCTTTATGGGAAGGATTTGGTCCTGTCACATCTCCCAGATCTCAAGTATAGTTGTCAGGGTGCAGCTATGAAAATAAAGGCTCTTCAAAGGAAGTTGAATGTGGTATTCTGGGGCCAACCTGTAATCTGGATCCTCTGGTGTAATCTAAATGCTTGGCTAGTGCAGATATTTAGGAAAGCATGGCAGACGTCAGTCAGTTTCACTTCAGTTTCGGTTTCTGCTTCCTTTATGCCCCAGACTGGTGTAGTGAGCAGCATTTGATCTGCACAGGTAACTGCTGCTTTCCCTCCCTCTTGCTTTCTGTCCCTCCCCTTGACGTAGGTAGGTCTGTAAGCGTTTTTATCCTGAACTGTGCCTTGTCAGAGTTCTCAGATCCTGTCTTCTGGCACAGTGTGGATAATCAACAGTACAGTTCRCTGACTGTCATTGTGCCTGCAGAATTTCCCACGTGTTAAATTGTTCAACTTGTTGGAGCATAGGTGGTGACTAAGGTCATGCCAAAGGGGAACAGGAAGAAGGAGGTAGTCACAGACAAGATAGGAGAACAGTCAGGAGACACATGGCAGTTAGGGGAGGAGGGAAGAGGAAGGGAAGGAACAAGGAACAGAAACATGCTGTCTTCTAGATGAGGAATACCAACAAGTAGTCCATGCCTGCCAGGCTACATTTCCCTTTCACTAGCCACTTTCTCTTTTAATAGCTGCGCACGCTCTTGCTCTCTGACACTTCAGACTCCTTGGATGGAAGCTCCGCCTCTCTTGTACCCGCTCTCAGCACTTCATCACTATGGCACTGTCAGCCCTTCATAACCTAGAATTAACTTTCAACAATTAACTGCGGGCTGTGAGCTCCAAGCCCTGCAGCTTTTGCATTTTTGTGGCAAAGTAACCTTTATGCTGGTTTGTCACAAGTTCAGGGCACTTTAGAAACGCTTACTGGAGACCATTATTTTCCATGATGCAAGCAGTTTGCTCTTATCACTGTGAGTTATCAACCTTGGTGCTGGAGGACTCTGCATACTGTACAGGTGGATCATTATAGTGCATAACAGCATGGGGCAGGTACTATCTCTTTGTGCATACTCTTACCCTCTGCTCCATGTGAGACATCCTCCGTTACCAGCATGGTGCTAGAGCTAGGAGGCCTGAAGGGCTCCAGATACTCACTGTTTGCAGTGCTATACTAGCACCAAGGGTTTGTGGGTGTGTACTTATCTATACTATCTCTCATCTCTTTAAATCTCTCCAACCCTTGACCAAGCAGCAAAATGAAGCTTTGGCAAGAGGCTGGGAAACATTGAGAAATGCTTGTGAAATCAGTGCAGATCACAAGCAGTTAGTGTTTGCTCCATTTGTAGGGAAAGCATGGGATAATGGCAGATACACCTGTTCCCCCTCCCACACTGTCTCCTTGTGGTTCAGTAGCATGGTTAATCTTGGGGGTGCTGTGAGCTTACTTGGAATCTTTCAGTCAGTGGCTTGGTTCCTTGGTCTGGGATGGTGGTCGTTGTGGAGACATGGAGGCTGGGACTTGTAGTGGGTGCTGTCATGGTTCTGAGGTGACCTGCTGAGGCGGATGTTCTGCATGGCCAAAAGAGATGACAGGAAGGGTGAAGATACATAGCTGCATGGTTCAGAGCCTCTGCTTGCTCTTAGATGTGTCTCTATRCTGAGGTCTGTACTAATGATTCTTCCGGCTTTAAAACCCACTGGGGCATCCACTGGCTGTTTTGAAAGGGGGTAAAGGGCAAACCAGTGAAGGGCCTTAATCCAGAGAGCAGATTATCTGCTGTAGCTTCAGGTTCTTTTTGGCTGAGCTGATATTATTCGTGGCAGCATACCAGGAGTATGGGGAATAGCAGAGAGGGGGTTTGGAGAAGACTCACCTGTGGCAGGCATCGTGGTACCAGGGAGACAAAGAGTGAGGCTGTCTTGTCCATCTTGCCCCTGCTCTGAAGCAGCTGTAGGAAGAGATTGTCTTTTTCCCTTCCCTCTTGATGTGTGTCTCTGTACARCACAGATAAAGGACTTAGGCCTGCAAGACTGTTAGTGAAGAGCATAGGGTAGCTGTGTTGCAACTGTCTGGCTCACTTTAAGGGGCGAAGCACTAGACATTCTTGAGCTGAGTTTGCATTAACTTATTCCCTCCATTCCTCTTTTAGTTATCAAATTCCTGGAAGTCTACGAGCGCAGCTTCTGCAGGACTATTGAGACCCTGGTGGACATWTTCCAGGAGTACCCTGATGAGGTGGAGTACATATTCAAGCCATCCTGTGTGCCTCTGATGAGATGTGCAGGTTGCTGCGGCGATGAGGGCCTAGAATGTGTCCCTGTGGATGTATACAACGTCACGATGGAGGTGAGGGTCCAGTTTGCAATCTGCCATGCTTGGTTGAAAGGAAGCAAGTCAGCCATCACAGCCAACCCAAGTCCCAACTCCCAGCTAATTCAGAGGAAGGGCAACCTACCCCAGGGAGCCTCTCTTCAGACTCTGGTGCTCAGTGTTCCATCATGCAGGGTTGAATTATGAGTTGCCTATGTCTATTTAAGACTAAGAGGAGAGTCTGTTTTTTTTCTCTTGCCAAAATAAAGTAGATAGGAGCATGCAAAGGATCATTTCTGCAAAGGAGCGTTTCTGCAAAGGAGCACTTTGTGCTTAGAGAATGCAGAGGACCGTTTCTGACGGTGTTAGCTCCAAGTTCCCAAAGAAGATACTCCTTGGGTTCTTGCTCCACCTTAACTCTACACACAGTTGTTGTTCTGAAGGCAGCTGAGTAGGGCAAAAGGAGAGAACCTGTCAGTACTTTCTCCTGGAGGGCATGTGAGGTCAGTCTGTACCAACAGAGGAGGGAATTTGGGAATTAGCTACCCTGGCAGAGAAGGGGTGAAAGGGGCTCAAAGAAACAAACTGCTTCTGTGTCAACTGGAAAAGCCTTTCTGCTTCTGGCATCTTCCTCCTGTGTTTGGAGGCTGCTGAATTCATTCCTTGGAAGAGACAGAGGTGGCCATGATAGCAAAGGCTGGGCAAATGGGAAAGATGCAAACTGCTTTGGAGAGCTTTGTTACTGCCCTTGTCTATCAGCCTGGATCCCAGCTTGTGTCCAAATAATGCTGGTGCCTGTAACCCATAGCTCCCTCTTTGGTCCCTMAGCCTCTTGAACAGCCACTGTAAGTATTGCCTTTTGGTATCAATGAAGTATAACTTTGATATAGATGAGAGACATGCAGTGCTAAGTGATTAACCAACAGGTCCTTTTACTTGTTTTTTGGGCTGTTGAAGAGCCTGCCTATGCCCTTTCATGGTTCCCCATACTGCTTTTCCAGYAGCCTGGGCCAGAGCATACTATCATGGTATAGCTAGGAATGGTTTTCTTCCTACCATTCTGTGCTGAATTACAGTTCTTGGCTGCTATGCCTGCATGCCTGTAAAGCAGATCTCTAGAGCTAGTGGTCCAGCCATGTTCTGGATTAAGAGAATGCGACAATATTCCATAGCTTCTAGTGTAACTTCCCTTGAGGTACCTGGGGCTGGGATCTGGGTGATGTCCGGATTTGCAGGGCTCTTTTAAACACAGATCTCCAGATTCATTTTGTGTACCTAGTCACTGTGAAAGTGAGATATCAGCTGGGCTGGAATGGTGRCTTAAGGAAAAGGAATTGGATATGTAATTTTTGCTTTGGACCTTTGTATGAGACTGAAGCATTGCTTCTGTGCAAGCAGGCTGGATGTTCACCTGCTGTCTGTCTGGCATCAGCCAGGGAGGGCTCAGTGAGAATCTTGCTGTTTTGGTACACCCTCTCCCATACCTGTCTCCAAGACAGTCCACCAGTGCTGGCACTGGGCACGCACAAGCAAACAGAGCTTTGGCACAAGTCTGATGTTGCTGCTTGCTTGTGATCAAAGGCCTTCCCTGACTGGGAGAACGGGGCCTCAGAGCTAGCTCGAACTCTGCCCTGCTCTTCCCAGGGGCACCTGGGCTGTGAGTGCTTTGCTGCGCAGCTGCCTCATTTGGAGCTGTGAATACGAAGAGTGAACAGGTAGTGACCCTTTCTGTTTCTTTCATTCCAGATCATGAGAATTAAGCCCCATCAGAGTCAGCACATATCACACATGAGCTTCTTACAACACAGTAAATGTGACTGCAGGTGAGAATTGAGCAGCACTGGTTCCTCTTGCAATAAACTTATTCTGAGCCTTTCCTATTTTTCTGCCATTGGGTTGGGACTCTTGTTCAGAGGCTTCTGCAGTCTTTTTAGTTGGTTTGCAGTGGGATGGCTGAGCCTGGGAAAAGAAGTCCTTTGCTGTTAGGGCTCTTCCATCTCTAGCTATGATAGGTGGACAGTGCTAGCCTGCAGCCTGGGATCTTTTGGCACTGGCTACCAGCAAGATGCAACAGGAGAGCAAAAACACTTTGAGACGGACCACTTAAACTGTGCCTTGGGCATCTTGCAATGTTGACTGTACGTGTCCTTCCCTGGACTTGGTGAGAGCTGGGGTTAATAGTGGAAGTATATATTGTAAGCTGTCTTCTAATGAGGCCTTTGTTCTATCTTTCCCCACAGACCAAAGAAAGATGTCAAAAACAAACAAGAAAAGTAAGTCACAAGCCTTTCCTTCTTTCTCTTCTGGTGGTTGRTTGGCATTTCCTCTCCCACTGCCCCTTGCCCTTTTCTTTGGTTGGATATGCTCACTTTAAGAAGGTGTTCTTGGAAATGGCATGTGGTAGTGCCTGGGGCATGCTCTTGAATCCATTCCAGGTGGGCGCAGAAACCCAGATCTGATGGTCCCTCCTTCACACTCCAGAACTGGACCTTGCATGACCCATGGCCATGGCAATCATTCCTAAGGCTTTTTCCCAAGTACGGGAAGTCCTGTCATGTCTGTCCTGCCAGAATGGATTCAAGGTGCAGCCCCCATTTTCCCCTTCCCTCTTCCAGGGGTGTTTCTGGTTACTGCAAATTGCTGCCTTTCTTTATTATTAATTTTTTTCTTGCTGCTTGAGTGAATACTTGCTGGCTTCTTTCACAGCAGCTTGGGTAGGAACTCTGCTGGCTACAGGGAGAGGTGGAAGTAGAGGCTTGGTGGAGGCAGGACTGATGCCATGCAGAGTGTGACACTGGTTTTGGATGGGTGGGGACCGAGGAGGGCATAAAGGGAGGTGTATGTCATAGCTGGATGTTGGTGAAGGCTTTCATGAGCGTTTTTTTGAGTCTGATGGATTTGCTTTGGTGGCCTGAAGGAGGTTAAGGCAAAACCTTCCCTTTATTTCCTCCCCAAAGAAAAAAGGTTGTGGAAAGGTGAAAAATAAGCTCCAATTCTGCAGTAGTTGCGGGGATCAGCATAAAATGTGAAACAAAGTTGAAAAGAAGGAGTGACCTCTCTGAGCGAGAGGATCAACTGGACTGCTCATGACTGGGAAAAGCGGCTCTGCCATTTAGAGGTGCCGGGTCGGAGAGGAAGGAGTGAATATTTGGAGATGAGGCTGAATCTGAGACAGAGGGAGCAAACAGGAGAATGAGAGAGCTTCTTTCACCTCTCTCCTGGTGGCTGTATATTTCTAGCTGCCTTCCAGCCTCTCCTCCTTCCCCTGGAAATCTGCTCCTGGCTGCATCAGACTGCACGCAGCCAGCAGTCCTTTGCACAGGGCCGTGTTGGGGACGGTTGGTCTGTGTGGCTCTGTAGTTTGAAGGCGTATGAGAGTTGGGTCTGTGTGAGCTCTGGTGAAGATGGGGTGTGGGTGTAGCAGCCAGCTTGGACTGTGTTGCATTCACTTTCCTCTTCTAACAGCACTTTGCCTGCTCTTTGCTGGTTCTGCACTCCGCAGGGAAGGAAGGGAAGGGATGGGAGAGACTGGTGTGCTTTGATTTGTGCTGGATTGAAAGTCTTGTTATACTGGTACCCCTCTCCTCCCTTCAGGTTGATTTTGTTCCCCTCACCGTCTCCCTGTGACTCCTGCCTGACATGTAAGGCAGAACCGGGATTGAGCAGATGCTCTGACACTCGTTCCAGTGAGACGACTTGAACAGGGCCTGGGAGACACCTATGGTGCTTTCTCTTCTTTCCCCCAGTTCCCTTTGAAAGCTCCTTCCCGAGGTGGGCTGCACCAGGGAACGAGGGAGCCTTTGCTGAACTGCCTCAGAGCTGGGACTCATTTGCCTGACAAGCCCTGGTGCTTTGCCTAGGGCCTTCTCCTTGCATGTCTCTCCCTTATTCCTTTGCTAATCTGGCTCAAGGAGCAGTACAGGCTCCAGCCTCCCTCGCTCCCTGTGTTCTCAGTGGCCTGTAGGGATCCATGGGTTGTGTCCAGGACTGCATGTCCTAGCCCCTGCCTGCCTCAGCTCCTGCCCAAGAGTCAGAGGCAACTGGTGAATTTATCAGAATAGAGTCAGTACCTTGGCTCCATCTGCTTGTCTGTCTGGCAGATCCACCTGGAAGGTGACAGAAGGGAAAGGAGAGAAGAACTGAAAGCTGGGTAAAATAACTAGGTCAGGCCTTCCTCTTCTCCCTCTTTACCCTTCAGTACTCAGGATGGAGGCTGCCAGAGGAAATGTTACAGACATCCAAGTAAGGTCTGCTGAAGTCCTGTGAGCCACAGGCAAGAGGTGAGGTGGATGAGCAAGGCCTTCAGGTTGGATAGCCCTCTGCCACACAGCAGTGCTGTGTAGATCACATCTCTTCCCTTGTCTACAGAGCACTCCCATCCCAAGGCAGGTTTGCCACCAATCCTGCAGCAGAGCTATTGGAGCTCAGCTGCCACCTCCTAGGCCCAGTGCTGAGCAATAATGCATCAGGTTAGAGTGGTTTCCTCTTCCCTGAAGAGAGCCCTTTCACTCAGGTTGCCTCTTGTCAGTCATTGTGCACATGTGCTTGTCGCCTGGAATGGTTGTCTGCACTCACTGCGGTGGCGTGATGCTTTCACAAAGCTTTCTGTTCCTTCTCCCTCACCCCCTGTCCCTTTCCCACTGCCCCTCTGGAGGGGGCTGGTGCCCCTCTGAGGGTCCAGCAGATCCGCCTCTGCTCACACCAGCCTTGCTGGAGGTGGTCTCTGCTGAGTTCCCTGGTGTTGGCTTGGCTGTGGGCAGGCTGGTTGCAGAGCCGACAGGAGCACCGGTGCCAGTGAAAGTGTGTGTGATGGAGATCTGTGCTTCGGCCCTGGAATTTACCTTCCAGTCCTGCCTCATGTGCTTCTCCCCTCCCAGCAAGGCACATGGCTGTATTTTTTTTCTCTTCTTCCTTGCATTTTCTTCCGTTTTCTCTCTATCTTTCCCTTTCTTTCCCTCTCTCTCTCTTTTTTTTTTTTTTTTTTTTTTTTCCAGAAAATCAAAGCGAGGAAAGGGGAAGGGTCAAAAGAGAAAGCGCAAGAAAGGCCGGTACAAACCACTCAGCTTGTACGTTTGTGTCCTCTGCTTGTAGACTCTCTTCCCTCCCTCTCCCCAAACCAATCTGCCTGCTTGCTGCTCGCTTAAATCTTAACCTCCCCTCCCAGTCACTGGTGGGCTGCAGATCCTGCAGGGGCAGCACTGGTGGTGGCACTGCTCTGGCACTAAGGCTATCTCAGGGAAGGTGGCTTTAGCTTGCTTGGCTCTCTAATCATCAGTGGCGACCATTTTCCCAAGGCACAAGAGTGTGGTGGGTGSATGAGTACCCTGCACCTCTTCACACCTTCCGGTTGCAGCTATGTCTGCTTTCCCCCACTTGTCTCATGCCCTCGCTGCTGTGATGACTGGTGACAGGCAGGCTGGCATCTGCCATGCATGTGTGTGTGTGTGTGTGTGTATGTGTGTGCGTGTGTGCACATGTGTGTGCGTGTCTGTGCCACAGATGTGTGTGGAGTCACAGGTGGAGAGGAGAGGTGGGACGGCGGGAAGCCAGAGAGGGGGTTCTGGGGAGTCAGGGGTGGGGGGGTCTCTATCTGCTGGGGTTTTTTTTTTCTCTTTCTGCTGGATTTGGTGGCTTGTCTCTCCCTGTCTCTTTCGCTTGGCCTTTCTCATAGTGGTTCACAAAATTCTGCATTGTAAATTCACAGCCCCTCCATAGGAGACTCCTAGGTGGCAAGGTCGGGATGGGGCTTACAGAAAGGAGGGCAGTGCTGGCTGCAGGGGTAAGCATGTGATTCTGGAGCCCAGCTGCTTTCCAGGGGAGGAGAGACCCTGTGTATTTAACTCGTTTAGCCGCTGGCCTCTTTCTACTCGAATAGTCCACTTCAGAGAACTCCTTTCATTGATGTGTCAATAGCTGGCTGAAACCTCTCACCCTCCCATCCTTGCTTTCCCCTTCTTCCTCCCTCTGGCCTAAGCCAAAGGATCCAATGCAGCATTTGTGAATACTGTGCAGAAGGCCTGTTTTCTTTCTCTACGCTAATGCAAGGGGTTGCTGTCCTGGGGCTGTCGGGGTGCTGCTGGAAAATCCATCAGCCCTTGACACTCCAATGGGCAGCATGGGGTCTGCGGGAGGGGGCAAGGGGTTTGCTTTGATGTTTAGGGTGTTGCATGTGTATTTTCTTTCTGCTGAAGCGCTGTAGCTTAGACATCTTTCCTTTTGCCTTTTTGCAGTCACTGTGAGCCTTGCTCAGAGAGGAGAAAGCACTTGTTTGTACAAGATCCCCAGACCTGTAAATGTTCCTGCAAATTCACAGACTCACGTTGCAAGTCGAGGCAGCTTGAGTTAAACGAGCGCACTTGCAGGTTTGTGTCCTGAAGGATGAAACACACAAAGAGAAATAGAGAGAAAGAGAAAGAGGGGGGGAGCTTGCTTCCTGCTGACTTCTGGCACCAGTGCTATTTTATTACTTCTTTTCTCTGTCCTACAGTGGGCCAGAGGGCAGAGGGGCTAACTGGGATGAGGACAGTTTCCATGTCAGAGGGCAGCTGTGCATTTCAGGTGTGCTCTCAGAACTTGGATGGGAATGGCTCCCAGAGACCAGGGTGTTTGTATCTCAGATATTCTTAATCCTAGAATAGGTTAATGGAGTTCATGTTGCTGAGGTAGGCAGGGGGAGGGTCTTTATCCCTCTGTACATTATCTGTATGCAACCCTGAGCATACTGTTGGACAAAGGCAAATCCTTAATTGTCTAGGATTTGACTACTCCTGTCCTCCGAGCCCTTTTTCTGTGGCTTGTAGATGCTCTGCTCTGTGCAGAATCAGGAAAGCCACTCCCTCAAGGCTGAGCCTACATTCTTCTTTGCTTCTTTGTTGTTCTAAAAGCCAGGGAGAGCACCCTATCCTGTTGCACTGGGGTCACAGTTCTCTGGCCATGTCCTGTCCAGAGTTGTGATTTGAGGGGATGCACTCAGGTCTGTGAATGGAGTACAGCAGTTTAAGGCTGGCCCTGGGTGAAAGGCAGAGGTGTGTATTTCAGATGTGAGGTGGGAGACATAAACACTCTGTGGAGTTAGTGTTAGTTCAGAGATCCATGCTGTGAGTGTGTCGTCTGAGTGCTGTCACATACCATCTGTGGCACAGACACGTAAAGAAACTGATTCCTGGTTCTCATCTGAGCACTTTGGTGAACTCAGGGATATCTTGACTCGCCCAAGCTATGTGTGTACCTCTAGTGTGGGATCATCCTACCTGTCTAGAGGGAGACAGAGGAATGGGGCTGCTAATGAGCCCTTGGCTGTCCCTCTGAACTCGGATCCCTTTCACAGAGATCTAGGAGATTGTTCCTGTTAAGAAAGTATTGCAGTGGCAGTGGCTCAAGGGGAGAAAATAAGGGGGAGAGATCCAGGTCCTCTGTAGCTACATCTTGAAATGAGGAGACATCTATTGGCTAGGTGGCTGAGGCAAATAAAACTAGGAAGTGCTTCCTTTGGGTGTGAAAAAGCTTTGTGTCCAAACCAGAGAGGCATTGGCACTGCTGGTGTGGTGGCAACTGCTCTGTATGCAGAGAATTTTTCTGGGATATGGTAATTTTAGTGGGAAAGTAATGGATGGATGGGGCCAGAACAGAGCAGTTTCTGGAGTTAAACTATTCTAGCCAGCAAAACTCCTGAAGTCTGCACCAGACTTAATGTTGGCCTTTTCCCCACTGCTCCTGTTCTCAAAGTCCAGAGTAACTGATAAYTACCCCGCAAAGTTTGAAGGGTGAGAAATAGCAACAAATACAAAGAAAAAACAAACAGTACCCCAAAGAAGTCATGATGGCAGAAGGTAGTTTCTCTTACTAGTCCCTCTCTGTGGTGAGATAATTGGCGCAAAGGGAGGTTTCCAGAGCTGGTGTGTTGGCCAGAAAAATGGGAAGGAGTCATAGGAGTGGTTAGCTTATCAGTTTGCAGATAAAAAGCTGGTTAAGCTGAAGTTCCTCATGCTCTTTCTTGTAGAATTAGAATTGAGACCTACAGGGGAGGGTAAATTCTCGTTTCTTCTGCTGCTTCTTCCAGTCACTGCTGTTCTCTGGTGCTAACCCCCACTCACAGCAGCTAGTGGAATGAAAGGCACTTACTTTTCACCTTCTTGCCTGTGTGAGGCCTTGTTGTCTGCACTGCTTCCAACCTAAACAAGAGGCTAGGTGGGGTGCTGAGGGTGTATGTCTTTCTGCATGCATTGCTTAGCCTTGTTTCTCTGTGTGTTTGTGTGTATTTGTGTATACGGTGTGTAAAGGTGCAAACAAGACACTCAACTTACCTGTGAGGAAGCCACTCATTCTGCTCCTAAATTTACCCCTGTTCGAGAATTCCCCCTGCTCTGCCTAGGTGAGCCTGGGGGAATAGAATTCATTGAGTCATTTGTCGGCGTCGAGATTCTCAGCTGATTTGCCCCACCTGCACAGCACTTCACCCCACCAGTGATGTCATGCCGTGTCTTAACACCATGTGCTTTTAAACACATTAGCCACCACCCTTCCTTCCCTTCCCTGCCCTACTTGCACCCCCATCACAAACATTAACCCCTGTTCTCTTTTTTTCCTTCCTTTCCTATTTGACAGATGTGAAAAACCGAGACGGTGAGCAGTGGAAAAGAAGGGGGAACAGCCCTGTTTCTGGAGCCTGATTTCTCGCCTGGACAGAATAAAACAAAACAAAACACTAATCCAAATGAACCCTAAAAATGAAGGATCGGTAGAGCACAGCACTTTCAGTACGGACGATGGACTCTGGAAGGAACATTCCCCAAGGCACCCGCCGCACAGAATTCACCTTTGGGTTTTGAACTGTTTTATTTTATTTTTCTTTTTATGCTGCTAAATAACAGAGCCAGGAAGACTTATAGGGGTGTATTTGATGAGTTTTCCCATGCATACATATATATGTGTGTATACATGCATATACATATATATATATGTATATATATTTTAACCACATCTATATATACATATATGTATATCTTAACCACACACACACACACATATATATATTATATATATATATATATATACTGATTATTTTTTTTAACATTGCTAATGTTATTGGTGTCTTCACTGGATAATACTCGACTGCTGTGGACACAAGCGGGCTACTTGGGGCATAAGAAACAAGCTAAGACTGGACTTGAGTAGAAGCGCTGGGTGTAAACTTCTTAACTCTAACTGACTTGTGCGGCCTCCGCTGTTTCTCTGTAGAGTGTGCTGTACCACAAACCACCTTCTCTTTGCCTGGGACAGGGAGGAGAGGTGATGGAGAGGATGGGCAGGGAGTTCCAAAGAGCGGCATCCTAGGGTGCGATGGGTCAAAGGCCAAGGAAATGGCCATCTCCGTGATCAAGGATTCCTCCTCCCCTCTCTTCCCCCAACCTTCACCCTTACTCGTCTCATAACCCGCCTGCCTTGCTGGGACATGGGATGTCAGTGTACATTGTGCGTTGACTTCATTCGCTGTAGAACCTTTGCCAGAGCGATGCGCTGGCTTCTCTTAAGATGGTGGGCAGCTGATGCGCACTAACTTTCTGTTCAAGGAAGTATCACAGGAGTCTAGATTTCCCGCCCTTGGTGGCTGCAGAAGGACACAAGGTCTACAGTGTGCTGAAGCAAGAATGGGGACCGGTGCATAGCCACACAGTTGTTCAGCACTGTCTGCTTTCTTCATGCACAGAGCTGCCACTCAAGAGCATCCAAGATGCTTATGGAACATTTCTGGAAAGGGATATTAATCAAAAGTATATACACAGTAGTGGGGTGTGTGTGTATGTATGTGAATGTATGCATTTGTATGTATGTATGTATGTATGTATGTGTTTTTCTCTCTTTTTTATATATATATATTTATTTTTATACATATATATATATAAAAAATAATATATRTATATATGCCAAGAATGAAGGGGAAGAAAAAAGAAAGCAATTTTTTTGCTGCCTTCAGTTTGCATGCCCAGTGTGAATGACCCTTAAGAACGTCAAGATTTTTTTTTTATGACGTACTGTAAATATCAGGCCCCTTTTCCATGTCTTGGGCTGGGGAATCAAACATGAAGGCAGCTGGAGTCCCTTAGCTGTGTCGTGAGGTTCTTGGCTATGTATGTATCTGCAGTGTAGGCTGTGGTGTATGTGAAACCCACCTTACACATGCGCGCACACACACACACACACGCACACCCCTCAAAGTGTGTTTGTACATCTATGTGGATATATATAATCTAGTTCTGTGATTAAAATTAATAATAATAATAATCAAAAAGGTACTCAGTTCTGTGTCAGAATGCTGCCAAACATCATCTGCAATTGAATTTTCAACGCCTGATAATGTACAACACGGAAAGCTTCCAAAAAGACAAGACAGTCTAAAAACAGACTCACAACAAGTGACTACTAACCACTAGAATCTCCCCATCCGACTGATGGCTTTCAGAAGGAGAGAAAACACACGGGTGGGTGCTTGCATCTGCAATGTAGAATACTCATGCTGCATCGTGTGCAAGACGGAGGCTTCCGATCGGGGGAGGGAAGAGAAAGTGTTTTATATACTTATTTAATATCCCTTTAAAAATTAGAAATTAAACAGATAATTTAATTAAAGAGTAGGGATTTTTCAGTATTCTTTGTTAATATTTAATTTCAACTATTTATAAGCCGTACCTCTT